GCAGTTATCCGTCTCTCGGAGGAACGCCGGACTCGCCCTTCAACTTTTGCGCTACAATCCACCTCCAGTCCATCGACTATGGTATTCGAGTACCTTGACCCTGTGTGGGGAAAAGAAGATCACGAATCGCTACCCGAGGTGGTTTGGAAGCTGTACGAACCTGCGGGACGATATACAGCTTTCGGGACACATGTGTTCTTCGTCAAAGCTCTGAGCTATCTGGATTGCTCTGGCGACGGTCCGGAATGGGCGGCGTTTGATAGCTACGTGGGTCCGCATTGACAGGGGGGGGGGAGGGAGTCGCGTAGCGCAGTGAGTGTCTGAGTTCATACCCATCGTCTGTCCTTATCTAGTAATGATTGGATCTTATAATGTATCGCTTACCTCGCACTGTCTGTTCCCAATATCTTGAGTTGGTGCGAAAACATTCTAATCTGGGCGTCAGGGTGTTCACCTGGCCGGATGCGTTCCGGCCTGTTGTGCAGCTTTTGAACTCATCCGACCCGACCTGTGTCACGTTAATCAGGGGTAACCATACTTGGCCATGACCCACTTGAAGGTGCTGTCGAAACTATCTGTCCGCAATCGAGTGAGTGCCACAATGTTGCCGAGATGAGGTTTGATAACTTACAGTATCTGGCTCAACGGGGACTAAATCGAACAGCTACGTTTGATGAGATGCAAAACTTATACGGCATCCTACCACAAAGAGATATGTGGCTCCGATTGATCCCTCTCACCATATTCTTCCTCAGCGACGATCGGTTCTTGCGTGCACATGAAGACGCAGAGGAAGCCATCGCCTGCAAGGCAGCTTCTTGGGCCATCGTAACCTCTCTTTGCCTGCTCGAGGTTTCTACTGTCGCTGGTGCTTGGATTGCCCCTGTCTGGACCCAATTGCATAAATGGCTCGAGTTCTTCGTGGACCAGAACCTTACCGTTTCGATAAACGGGCACATAGAAGATAGTCCCACCGTCTGCCTCGCTGCCTTGCGGCACTTCACAATCTTGCCCGACTTTCACTCCACGATGATGCTCTCCGAAGCCTGCGTTTTGGTGTTGTTAACCGGATGGAGGACTTGCTCCCAGCCAACAACGCGCTCGCGAGTCGTGTCTCAATACGCTATGCACAGCGTTTACCAAATGCTTCGGCCGTTGTCCGCTGCTGCCGAACTCCATTCCAATATGCTGTTGCAATATTGCGGATCGTCGATAAGAGCTGTTGCCGAATTCGCTGCTTGCACAATGCAGACGGTTACATTTGCTGGACTCGACACTGGCGCTTATTTCCGCATGTGGTCCGTTGCCCATTTCTGGGCTGCAATAGAATCCGCCGCGTCTGTACCGGCAATATCGCGTGGGTTCATCAAGTGGGGTTTGCTGTCGGAATTGGTACAGGCGATGCGCGTGCTTAACCACCTCCCACCGTCGGATAGTGCACATGCCGTCGGGGAGGAGTTGATTGGTTTCCTCACTCGCTTGGGATTGGTTGGCGGTGCGACGTCGTGGACACTAGCCGTGCAAGGCGGTGTCATTGAGCTGACCGCGCAATGGCTTCAACGTGTGGGTCGCGGCCACCATAATTTGCATGCGTTGGTCGATTTGTTGCTTTGCGGGCATATAGGTCGTTACCTATGGCACCCCCGCCTCGTACAGAGTATTTCCTCGCGTTTGCGCTCCATTCGTGAGGTGACGAGGCTAAATGTATTCCAAGAAGGAAAGCCTCAGGCTTTCGAGGAATGGGGGGTTCTATGGGATGCGATGGCGGGCCGCTGTCTGTCTTTGTTGGACGCGGACCCGAAGGCAGTTAGGCGAATGTGCAGCTTGGTATTTTGTACATCTTTGGCCGTCTTTAAGTTCTGACTACTGGCGTCTAGTGTGGACGTACCGGGGAGGGCAAATTGTTGAAGAGATGTGTTGCTTGTAAATCCACCTTTTTTTGCAACAAGCGTTGTCAGAAGAACGGGTGGGCGCAGCACAAGGGAGAGTGCTCGGCGCGTAGGAACAACCGAGAGAGTGTGTGAAATCTGTCACGAGATTGTCTGCTGACTGTTCGTAGAAGCGAAAGCTTTTGGGTTGACTGCATCGGTCCGTGCTTTTTTGCGCTGTGTCGCTCACGGGGACGCAACGGCTGTGTTGGATCGCCTCCGCCGTCAAGTTGCCATGGCTTTGGATCAACACTCGAGCGGAGATGTTGTATTGGTGTTCGACTATCGGCAGGTCGCGCCGTGCATCGAAGTGTTGGTAGCGGACCACTCTAAACCCTTGTTCGGGCTACAGCCTGGGTTTGTTCACGATTCGGGTTTCGTTGCTCGGAAAGCTGGTGTGGCGCTGGATTTTGTCATAATTCCAACCCAATTCGGAGAGTTCTACTGGGGATTGCTGCGTTACAACTCGGTGCAGATGGACCGGGCTTGGTGGGCATCCGTAGATGAGGCTAAGTGGGCTACGGTTTTTCACTGAAGTTTGTGTTTATAATAATACAAGTACTCGTGTTTGCCATTTATTGGCCTTATACCCAAGTAATATTATAATATCTATTCATCGGCCACAAACTACGTGTATGAAGTGCCAAACAAATAAAGTTTATAAAATCTGAATGCTTTGACTATTTGGACGTTGTGCGATGTGAGCCTGAGAAGTACTAGTGGGAATTGGGAATTGGGCGAGGCTAGGGAAGTAACACCGGAATCGCAGTGCAGCCACAAAAGATGTAAGTCGTAATCTGCAACGACAAGATGAGCAACAAGTAAACAAAGAAAGCAAGACACGTTATACCATGCACGTCTGGCGGTGATAGGCCGCGAAGTCGCCGACAGGTGCGCGCGATATGTTTTTGTTTTGTATCGCTGACTTGCCTGTGGTTTTGACGATGCTAACCAAACAGCAGAGTTAGTACTACCATAGACCTGCAGAATGCTGACATGCTCGATGGCGGGGCTTCGTTGCAAGTGCTGGAAGGCGATGTTGCCGCAAACAAAATTTTGTCGTTGTCGGCAAGGTGTGTTTCGTGTCGTCTTGCGGCGTTTAACTTGGACGATGCTGAGTTGTTTTAGTCCGCATTCGACAAGCCACTTGAGTCGGGTGTGGTATTGGGAAGCTGGCGTTGGCAACGTTGTTGCTGTCTTACGCAAGGTTCGTGGCAATTTGTCCATAATTTTGACGATACTAACAGCACATGTACACTTAGCGTTGTCCTCGGTATCGTAGGGTCAGATTACCCGATGGCGGGTTTCGCTGCGAGCAGCTGAAAGGCGCTGTTGAAGCAACAACACTCGTCCTCAGCAAGGAATCCACGTCAGCCAGCGTTTTACTGCCTGATGGACGAGCGCACCCATTTCGAGATCCTCTCTCTGTCCCTCCAAATGCTAGCCCTCTTTCACAGTCCAGCCACCATATCCCGTTGGCGTTTCCCCAGAATCCCCACCGGTACACGGTTTGCTCGTTGTCGAGATCGGCGCTGACCTCGTTATTTCTAGCTGCGATTTGAAGATTTTGGAAGGCGGCGGGGGCGGGAAATATGCTTCGGCAGGCGTTGTAACAGGTCAGCAAACGGCTAGATGTAGTAGTGAGCATTACAGGCCAGTGTAGATAGATTCGGCGCCTTGCCGTTGGGCTGGCAACTGCAGGTGAGGCTTGTGCCGTTCGGGGCCGCGCAGTTGGCGCGTCTTGAAGTGGGATGTGCTTCTGTGGCTCGGGGCTGCGTTGGGCGGACGCGCTGGGTCTGGAAGCGTGCGGAGATGGAGGAGGCCAGAGTGGTTCGTAAGCGGCACGTGCCTTCGGGTCACGGACCCGATCGGCCGGTGGGTCGCTTCCTCCCGCTCCTGAGCTGCCGTTGTTGGCGCTGCCCCTGCTGCTGAGGCAGGAGGTTGGTGGCACTGCCTAATATGGTATTGGTCAGTGCGTTGTTATTTCTTTTGAACATCGTTGTGCTTACCGCTCGTCACGGTTGTTCTTCTCCCACTGCCTTTCCTACCCCCTGGCACTGACCACATACACGCAACCTTCAAGCTCGAGCTGTTGCTCAAAGGTGAGCTTCACATCCTTGCTATTGTATTGGATGCTTGCCTCGCTGGCGCCGTTCTCCTCCTCCAAAAAACCGTCATCACCGCTGTCCCCCGGAACTTTGGTTCGTCCCTGGCCATTTGCCGACCCCAAGCTAGAGGAGAAGGTAAGTCCAATTTGTTCATCCAGAAGATGTCTGCTTACCTTGCATAGGCCATCGTCCTCCATTCGTAAGCCTTCCAGGTAATGTCGTAGTCGTTTTTGGCCTTTGACTTGTACTTATGTACCGACCGACAGCGCTCGAGCTGGATACGCGCCTTCCGCGCTCTTGCCCCAAAATCAGCTCCACATTCTAGATCTGGCTGTTGAATGCTGACCTTATCACAGCCCCGTTCTCGCGCTGTTTCTTCCCCATACGACCGTTATAGGCATCGTCCGTGGTCCCTTCGCCAAACTTAAGCTAGAGGAGGAGTTAGGTCTAACCAGTTCATTCGAAAACACGTCTGCTCACTTTGCATAGGCCTCCGTTTCCCGGATCGCCTCCACTATCTTTCGCAGACCTTCAAGCAAGCCAAGTTAGTATTCGCAGCCCTTGACTTGTGTTCACCGGCCAGCCGCGCTCGCTTGTCCGCGCCTTCTCGCAGACTCATATCCACGACCCCACTCATTCATGTCTGTTCCTTCCGCATACCGTTTCCCTCCTCATCGTTACTATTGACCAAGGACAGGATGGTCGTCGAGTGATTGTCCTGCTCGGCGTTGAGCCAGGCGTAAAAACTGGGCCACTAGTCAGCCAACGGTGCGGGTGACGTATAGAATATCACCATTCACGCCTGCTGACCGTCCCTACACAGTCGCGCTCGACAACGTCTACAAGAACTTGACAGTTAGCAACAGACGCGCTATGGGCGGACGACAAACGCACCTTCCTCCACCCTCCCCGCCATCGAGATGCTCACCCTCGTTCACAGCCTGGCCGCCCCATCCCGCTCGCGATGCCCAAATGGTGGGTGTCCTAGGCCTGCTCGTTTTCGAGATTGCGCTGACAAATCTTTGCTTTCAAGCGTTGATTTAGCGGGCTCTGAAGGCGGTGGGGCCGGAAAGCGTGGCTCAGGAAGTGCCAGAGCCGCTCTGCAAACGGCTGGACGGAGTCCTAGTGGCATGCTGGATACAGATTCCGCGTCTTGCCCGTTGAGCGGTGGCCCGGCAAGCGATCGAGCGCGGCCTGTTGCGGGGGCCGTTCGCGGCCGTGCATTCAGCGCTGTTTGAAGCGGGAGGCCGTCATGTGGCCCGGGGCAGCGGGCGGGTCCGAGTCGGGGAAGTGAGAGGACCAGAGAGAGTTGATAAGCGACACGTGCCGTCGGGTCACGGGCCCGACTGGCCGGTCGTCGCTTATCCGAGTCCTTCACCACCACCCAGCGCGTTAGTCGTCGTCGTTGGCGCTGCCCGCGCGTGTCGAAGACCGCTGTTGTTGGCAACGGGTGCGCGCTGACGCGTCCCTCTACTTGCCAGTCTCTTACTCACCGTTTTACAGGCCGGTCACCCGGTGGTGGACGTGGGTGAACGGACCACTGCTGACTCCCCAAGCTCGCCCGCTTGAGGTGAGTGCTACAGGTCTGCTGCACTATCTCCCGGTCTCACCACTCCGTCATTATCGCAGTCTTCTGGCGTTCGTGGCTGTCCTCACTGCTCCCAACCCCGTCTTTGAATCTAAAGGAACTTACCAGCGCTCGATCACTACGACAAGACCGCGCGAACGCGCTGGCGGGCTGCGTGCCCGCTTTGCTTATGCCAACTTCCTTGGGGTTTGGCGGGAGCGAATAGCGGTGCGGTTCTCCCTCTCTTGTCCAAGGTGCGCCGTCATCCGTTCGCGTTGTTAAGGATACTGACCGACAGTGTTGGTATTGTCCTCAGCCGCTACAACGACGGGACCTGCTAGATGGGGGCTTGGTCGCGCGCGAGGCCAAGGTGTGTAGCTGTGTTATGCGCGACAGCGTTCGGTGACGACAAATGTCATTATGTACATTCCCCCATTCTCTCCGAGTCCTCCATCCACATGCTCCACCATATCCCGCTCACGATTCCTCCATGGTGCGTGTTCTGCTCGTTCTCCAGATCGGCGTTGACAGCCTCGTTGTTTCTAGCTGTGATTTGGTGAAAAAGCTGATTCCCTTGCTCTGTACAGCTGTTCTGTGCAGTTCATCTACACTATTCTACAGATGTGGAATATATGTGCTCCAGTTGACGTCAACAAAGGCCTGTGGGGGAAGGGAGCGCAGCGTAGACAAGGGTAAGCCAATCAAAATGACCCGGGCCACGCAGTAAAGCGCGATATCGATTGGGACCAGCACCTGCCGCAATGTCAGTGCACAACGCAACAGCAGACTTTGTCTCCCGTAGTACGGCGTTTCACACGGGTCATTATGTTCAAACGGGTCGATATATCCTATTGGTCGCGTCCACAGGAACCATATCAAGTGAACAGGAAGGGCGGTGATGAGCACGGTCGACACGCGCCACAGCCACTGCTCAATTATCGATGGGAAGATAGCAACCCAAGCGAGGAAAATTGAAATGGAATGCTCCGAACAGGGAACCGCAGAGATACTGCGCCGACGTTGTGTATATCAGCTCTTTGCTAAAGGTTGAGCCTGAGGAAGTCGTTGGCCGTGTATCCCCCCTCCAGAAAGTCGGCACGTGGGTAGCAAAGCGAGGTGGGATGTCGTAGTAGTTGAGTACAAGATAGCGTAAAAGCGGTTGGTACCAGTGTTCGCCTTGCACTTTATCGGTCGCTGAATGAGTATCAGGACCGCCATAAGAAATGCGCAGCGGAATAGGGATGGGGTCCCGCACGTCAAGCGGCTTGCCGATCCAGAGCAGGCACGTAACCGCATTGAGAGCTGCAAACGCAAGTGTCGTAACTTCCAGCTCGGTGAGCGGGAGACGCTGCATGTGACGGGCGATGACTGCAGAATGAACCACAGCCCTTAAACAGCGCGATTCCTTTCGAAAATACATCGCCCTTGCTCTTGTCTTCCAGAGCTGCAGAACCCGCATTCGAAACGACATGGCGGCGCGGAGACCAGGAGCAATGACAGGGCTAAAAACGAGTGTCAGTGGAGAGAGCTGGGCGGTATGGCGAGGTACGCACTCGTTACCTTGCCGCGCGTTGAATAAGCATCCAGCGCCCATCGCGGACAGACACGGGGGAGTTGGGAGCGCAATCTTGGGAGGCTGAGGTCCTCGAGCAGTCCGGGGCAGTTTTCGATGGTGAATGTGGCGCTCAAGGTCGGAAGATTAGGGCGGGATGTGTGTTTCGAGGCGCTAAGTGCGGAGCCCGGTGGGCGGGCCATCTGCAAAGGCGGATGGGAATGAGGCCAGACAGGGAAGGAACGAGTATTTGCGCACCCGAATCGGCCCAAGGTATCTACCGCGATGTGTCCCACAAGCAGCGGACGGACGCTGGGGTTCGTGGTTTGAGGGGGAGGAAACGAGAGGTTGATGAGTCGACTCATGAGGGAGAAGAAGGAAGGTGCGTGTGTGACCACTGTCAACTTGAAACTCTCTCAGGCTCCAGGACTCAGTTTCGATTCACCAAGGAACAGCGATGGGCCTGGAAGAAAATGAATGGCGCTACTAGGTCCATCGTAGAGTACTTACTGTTGGGCCGAGAATGCTTACTCTTCATCCTTTAAGATATGCAACCATCCGAGTCTTGACGATAGTCTCTCCCCTTTTGGGTTCTTTCCTTCTTTAGACTACACGTCGATACAGAACGAGGAATATCGTTGATTCACAATGCAGAGTACATTATGGGGAATAGTCCGACAAGCTACAAACTGTCGCTCCTGGGCTACGCAAGTAGATGTAAGCGCTTGTAGCACGTATCCCAAAAGCGACCCATAATCGTCCGGAGAATAGACTGTAGATTGGTTGAGCCGCCAGAGAACATCGTCCTCCATCGCATAGCAGTGTGGGCAGGCTAGCCCGCTTGGTTGGACCCAGAGAACCGCGACAATGGGCACGAAACGACCGCGGAGGTCGAACGTGGTGCCAAAGCGCGTTCGAAAACCTTGACAATCCTGAGCGTACATGCACAGGCATGTGTAGATACGCATTTTCGAGTGGTCGTAGCTTGCAGTATGGATGGAAACCCAATTCCGGTCTAAGTGCGGTCGCTGTCGAAAACGGCATTGACGAAGACCTTCTGGACCATCGCGGCGCCCAGAAAGGATTATGTGGCACAAATGGCGTGTAAGGCACCACGGGATCCACTCGATAGAGGCGTAGGTAATGCAGGAGGAGGGATTCAAAGTCGGATGTGGGAAGCGTGACGGTGACGCATGTGACCTTCGGAGGAGACGACAAAAAAGTCGTGAAAGCGGGGTCGACTCCGTAAATGGCGGGAGCAGCAGGAGCTGGCGCTCGCGTAGATGTGGAGGAGCGAGATGCTGTCGTGGAAGGAGGGAGTATGGCATTGGTTTGGCGAAAGTGGGCGAAAATAGTGTTCCGGCACATATGTGTCAAGAAAGACAGTCGCCAGAGTGCAGACAGGGTAGAAGAGGTGTTGGGATAATGTGCAGGCGATGTTAGGCCAACGCTGTTACATGCGGGTATAACGCTTTCCAGCCCGACTGAGCATAAAATGAGTGTACCCTTCGCTGCTCGAAGAACGAGAAGACACACCGATTTGAGCCGTTTCATACAGAGCTCATCTTCACCCTCCCCAGCTCAAGCGGCAACTCGTTTCAGAGTCGTTGTCGTGGGACTTGCGAGTGTTGCGAGCAGCCCAATGCTCGCGGAGTAATGTCCTTGCCGAGTTGTGGTTGTCTAACGGAAATTGGAGGGCATCTGCAGATAAGAAAACGTTAACAATGCAGAGGACGACAAGAGGATGCTTTAACGCACCAGAAAGACCAGCGACTGGCTGACTCGTCATGGCAAACGAGGTTGTTGGCCTTGAATAGCTTGCGCATTTGGTGGTCGACACAGTCGTGCCATACAGCATCAGGTTCGCTGCCGCTCACTCAGAAACCGGACGACAAATGAGCATAATAGCGCACCACAAAGACCAATCTTTCCTTCTTCTTCCCGCTCGCTCTGCTGTTACTCTTTGCTCCCAGAGGTCGGGGCGGTACGCATCATCGCCTAGCGGAGGAAGGTCAGTCGGACTTCGCCCCAGTCGGCCGTTAAAACGCACTAAGAGACGCCCGCGCAGACGTCTAGTACGCCAAACACGAAGACGGCAGGCGCCAAAGGTCCGTCCCAACAGCAGTGCTTTCCCCCGAGCATTGCAGACGACAGTGGCAAGGCGGGTGGAAGTCAAGACGAAGAAGGATTGACGGGTGACGCAACGTGACCGGCCCGTCTTTCCTTTCGCTCCATAACCATCATGACAACCTGTTTTCTTTGTTCGTTCCACCCGGAGGCTCTTGGCCTGCCTTCTACGTCTGAAATCGAACAGCTCGACTCTATCACTCGCTCAAACCATCCAACTCCTGTGGATATTCCCAGCAAACTGAGTGCTGCGTCTGCGACCATTGCCATCTACGACGCTCATCTTGCTCGACTGGAGGAACTGGTCTGGGCAGCTACCGAAGAACGAGCGCGGGTTGTCCACTATGCCTCCCGGTGCAAGAGCCTCCTCACAGCGCATATCCGCCGGCTCCCAACAGAGATTCTTGCGTCCATCTTCGAATTGACTGTACTGATGTCGCGTGCCGATATGTACCACACTGTGGAGGAAATCAAGGACTCTGATGTAGCATTGCGGAACCTGATCAGTCCCAACCTCCGTTCTCTTATGCAGGTCAGCTCATGTTCGCGAGCAGCACTTGCCGAGCAGCCGAAGTTTTTAATCTCCTTGTCAAGGTTTGCTCGCACTGGCGGGAGGTGGCATTATCGACGCAAAGTCTTTGGAGCCAGCTTATACTCGACGGGCCGATCTTGACCAGCTCACCAGTACCCTCGCAAAAAGCCTTCCATTTGACCCAGACAGCTTTAGCCAGGGGTGGTCAATATCCGCTGGTACTGCAGCTCAGGGCTATGTCTGCCGGTTGGGCAGCATACAGTGAAGATCAAGAAGCTCCTCGTGCGCTAGAACTTGTTGTGAAGCATGCGGGACGATGGAAGGATGTCACACTGGACTTTGACAACGAGACAGTTTCGCTGCTTGCTCCAGTTCACCACCATCTGGACTGTTTGGAATCTCTGGATTTCCGTATCTTTCAGCCGTTGTCCCATTCCCATACCATCGACTGTTTCTCCGATGCTCCTCGATTGGGGAGTGTGGTATTCTGTGGACGTGCGATGGACTTGTCAATGTTCAGGCTGCCGTGGAACCAGTTCCGACAATTTTCTTTTGCCACCAACCTTCCCTTCCCTCCCTCCGACTTGCGCTTTCTCCCCTTACAGAGCCTTTCATCTCATTGTGCATTGTTCCTCAACTTGTTTCTCGAGCAAAATGACGATGCCAACCTGACAGCAGTGACGCCCCAACCAGTGCTGAGCTGGTCGCTCAAACTTCATTTCCGGGCAATGGTCGGCGATGCACAAGCCACTCATAGTCTGGGGCGCGTCCTAGCTTTCCTTGTGTTTCCCAAGGTTGTGCAGTTGATACTGGGATCTAATAATCCCGAAAATCCAAGCCATCTATGCTGGAACCAAATCGAATTCTGCACTCTCATCGGACGCTCGAATATGGGACAACGCCTGACTTGTCTCATCATCACCCTACCTTTGAGGGCGTCTGAGCTTTGTGATATTCTTGCTCGGCTTGACTCGTTAGAGGACCTGTACACCTACACCACGGAGAGTCCGCCGCCCCTCGTAACCGACGAGCTGCTGAACCGGCTCACCGTCGATGTAGATCCAGACCGGATGCTGGTTCCTAAGCTTGGTTTCAAGGCTTATTCGAGATCTCCGGCCGCTTTGCGTTTACGGACCACGCTTTGAAGGAATTCACCCACAGCAGAATGTTGCATGTTAATGCAGTGCCCTTCTCGTATTTCTTCAATCTTGCTCTATTCCACTATCAAGGAATTCAATGTCCGCTGGGTGACGAGCTTCAAGCCCAACTGCGACAATGGGACGAAGATGGTGAGTTAGCCCTTGTAATAGAAGGGTCCTTCTTTCTTGAATAGGTGATATACATACATCTCTTGTTTCGCTACAGTGGTGAAAAAGCATTGCGAATCGAATACGAGCTCGAGATACATGCAGGAGAAGTGGAATAAAAGAAGGCGGGAATGATGCTATTGAAGGAGAAAGGCGCGACGGGGTTGGTGCCAGATGCGGTGCAGGAAGGAGTGAAGATGGAGAACACATCGTTGTTCCTCCTGCCTTCGTTTTGCTCTCCCTGAACAACAGCAACCCAGCCACCGGAGCGCTTGACTTCCGCATCGACCTTTTCCCTCTTCATCTTATTCATTGTCGAATCCCACTCCTCCACCCGTTAGGCTCCTAGCCCAAATGTCGTCTGCGAGTTGCTGCCGGCCATGAAGGAACGCAGCAGCGGCGCGAGAAGTTGCCCGAGAAGATGACGGTTGGTTGGTTGATCAGCGAGGTTGCCACATCGTCTCCGCGACGTGCACCGGTTACACCCGCGAGACGGAAGCAGGAGGAACTAGGATGGGTGTTGACGCGGCAGAGGTTGACGATGAGGATAGTGGGCAGTATAACGATTCGCAAGAGGTCTAGCGAGGTCTTGTCGCAAACGGAGGCGGAAAAGAGCTGAAAACTCTGGTTAGTACTTGACAAGGTTCGGGCTTGAGAGGGACACACACACCTGTAGACTCCAATTCCAGATTCCGCCTCCCTTGTCCTCTACACGTGTCGCCGCTCGAAGCGCTTGAGCTTGTACTGAGAGCGACGCAAGTGCTTATAGTGGGGTCCTCAGGATATTTGTTGTCTATGGGTAGGAGTAGCTTGAGCTGAAGTCTTTTCAGTCAGAGAAAGCGCGCACCGATTGCGAGACTGCGCGTCGACACTCAACATCGACATCTTGCTCTTGTCTGCATCGTTGACCGCGAAGACCACGGCTAGTGCCTCGCGCTAGGATGTCGTATATGACCGCAGAAGAGCGGAGCCCGTTATCGAGACCGCAACTGGCGGGACCATGAAGTCGGGAAGAGAGAAACGCGTGCATGTCACACACCCGCTTCTTGTTTCCCGACCTCGATGATCCCGCCGGCCTCAAACTTGTCAGGCCCTCCAACGAACATGCCGGGTACCTGCCCTTCTCCACCAAGTATTCAAACTGCTCACGCTATGTTGGCGAACGGAGCAACGTGCGTCTTCGCGCGCATTGGCTTGTGTTTATCTCCTGACTTTTGGCATAGCGATGAAGGGCTCTACTCTCGCGCTACCGTGTAGTAACTCGAAAGCAGCTCATAACGACAACCGAGAAGCTCCGTCGGGACACGACACTGGCCTGCAGTCTTGGGATGGTTCTCAGGGGAAAACGGAATATCAGTCGTGCTAGCGTTAGCGTATGCATATCGGTGCGCGAAAGTCATGCTTCTCTCCCCCCAACGTCGTTGCTGACGGTCTTCCTCAACAGGCTCTCATCTCCTTGGCTTGACTTTTCAGTCGCAAATAGAGAATGCTTAGGACCTGTTGTTCTTACTGGACATGCCCCGAATATCGCTTACTGTCGAGAGAAGAGAGCAGGCGTTGTCGGGGCCTCTTTTTAACCACCCATCTTCCACCCATTCACCAAATACTCAAGTTATCCCCGCTATCAATGGCATATATACCCCTCGATAGTTCTTCCAGCTCGCGATTCTCCGCAGTTTTGAAGCTGGCCCGACGGCGGAATTGCGCGCTTTGGCTAAGTGTCGTCGCATTGCTTGCGCTGGCCACACGATACAGGCGTCTTCTTCCAATTTATCTGTTCAACGGAGTCCCAATGGCCAATCACTCTTATTGTTGCTCGACAACGCCGCCGCGTTTGAAGGTACGATTTCTTTTTACCTCAGCTTTCATGTCTGAAGTGTCGTTTAGCTACAACGACGACAATATCCACCCCAAAGCAACATAATAGTCACCCCTTCCTTCACCACCAGCTCCCCTTTTTCCTCGTCGGAGCCTGCACCACCCGCACGACCAACTCAAAATTTTGTCCGGATTTGGCAAGTCACGTGCGCCTCGCCGTCCGCAGAGAGTGCGACATATCTCCTCCAGCACCGCAGCTATCGCTCTAGCGAGCGTATATCCTTGTATACCATGCTATTCGACTTCTACATAATTCTTTCAGCTCCGCCATTCGAGGGGGAAGACCGCCGTTGAGGGTGTTTTGCTTGCGGCGGTCGTGTGGCGGGATGGCCAATAGTTCTCTATCTAATGTCGACGTACGCGTCGGGCGAGGTAATTCAGGTTGACGGGGCACTTGGGAGATGGTATGTTTCAGGCGTTCTGAAGGATTAGCATATGTGTGAGGAGTTACTTGCCCCGTCCGACTCTACTTACACTTCAGCAGGACGAAGAAATCCTTTGTTAGGCTGCCTCTTCTCCGGTCCCTTCCTTCCTTGCCCGTTGGCTTCGCTCGTCCGCGCAAGGAGAGCGGGATGGCCGACCCATATATAGCAATCCTTCTCATCATCGCGCGACAAGTACATTCAAAGGTATGATCTTCTTTTTACTTCAATTTTCCTGTCTGAAGCGTCTTCGAGAATAGTTACAAGGGCAACAACACAATATCATACTTTCATGCTTATCCGTTATCCGTTTGCTCCTCCGCCTCCCCGTCAGGGCTTGCACTACCCAAGGACCACCCACAAGACCGACTCGAAATTTTGTCCGCATATGGCAAGTCACGTGCCCTCCGCCATTCGAAAAGACTGCAGCATATCTTCCCTGACACCAAAGCTGTCGCTCTATAGAGCGCATCTTCTCGTGCCCATACCGCTCCCGTTCTACCCAATTCTTTATGCCCCGCAACTCAAGGCCCAAGACCGCCGTCGAGCACGTTTTCCCGTGCCGCTTTATATATGGGGCACGACGGCGTTTCTCCTTCGAGAGGGTGAAATCCGGGCAGTACCGGGCTCTTCAGTCCTTGACAGAGGGCAATGACCTTAGAGAATATGTCGCCTTTACTACGATCATCTGCCCGCCCTTCGATATATAGGCCTTGGGCCTTCGTCCTCCACTCAAACCCGATTTCATTCGTAAGCCTTCCAGGTAATGTCGTAGTCGTTTTTGGCCTTTGGCTTGTACTTACCGACCGACAGCGCTCGAGCTGGACACGCGCCTTCCGCGCTCTTGCCCCAAAATCAGCTCCACATTCTAGATCTGGCTGTTGAATGCTGACCTTATCACAGCCCCGTTCTCGCGCTGTTTCTTCCCCATACGACCGTTATAGGCATTGTCCGTGGTCCCTTCTCCAAATCCAAGCTGGAGGAGGAGTTAGGTCCCATCAGTTCATTCGAGAATGTGTATACTTACTTGGCATAGGCCTCGTTTCCTGGATCGCCTCCGCTATCGTTCGCAGACCTTCAAGCTAAGTTAGTACGCGTTTTAGCCCTTGACTTGTACTCACCGGCCAACAGCGCTCGCTTGTCCGCGCCTTCTCGCAGACTCAAATCCACGACCCACTCATTCATGTCTGTTCCCTCCGCATACCTTTTCCCTCCTCCGAGTCGGCGTTGAGCTAGGCGTCAAAACGAGACCACTATCCAGCAAAAGGACACAGATGATGCATATAATCTCACCATTCGCGCCTGCTGACCGTTCGACAACGTCTACAAGAACCTGACAGTTAGCAACAGACGCGCTATGGGCGGACGACAAACGCACCGTCCTCAACCCTCTCCTCCCCGCCATCCGCATGCTGACCCGCGTCTCCAGCATCCAAGTTGCGGCCTTGTGCCCGCTGGCGATTCCAAAGATGGTGCGTGTTCTCCTCGTTCTCAGGCTCGAGATTGGCGCTGACGTCGTCGGTCTTTCTAGTGTTCATTTTGCGGGTTTAAAGGCAGCGAGGGCGGCAGACGCAGTTCGGCAGGCATTGGAGCGGTTCGGCAAACGGTAGGCGGGAGTCCATGACTTAGCTGTGTAGAGCAGACAGCTGACTCGGATTCGGCCGCTTGGCGTTGAGCGGTGGCCCGGCAAGCGAGCGCGGGGCCGTTCGCGGCCATGCAGGCGGCGCTCTTTGAAGCGGGAGGCGGCCATGTGGCCCGGGGCAGCGGGCGGGTCCGAGTCGGGGAAGTGAGAGGACCGGAGAGAGTTGATAAGCGACACGTGTCATCGGGTCACGGGCCCGACCGGCCGGTCGTCGCTTACCCTTCTGACTTCACCACCACCAGTTGTCGTTGTCGTCGGCGCTGCCCGCGTGCATCAGCGTCTGCGCATGGTCTTTGAGACGACCGCTACTTTGGGCAATGCGTGCGCGCTGATACCTTCCGATGGCCCGTCCCGGGCCCCGGGTACTCACAACTTGAAGTAGATATATATCGAGTTATTCTCGCGATGAGTACTTACCCGTCTTAGCGCCCGTCGTCCACCGCCCTTCTCACACCCATATCATGCTCTCCCCCAAGACCTCCAGCCCTTCACTGTCCCCACGACTCTACCGTCGTGAGCGCCACAACTTGAAGGCTACGAGTAGATTAACCACATTCTACTAGATGTCGCGCGCGCCCTGGCGGTGTGGTATATCCTATGCACCGTCTCGGGGCAGCTGCCCATCCTTTTCACAATTGCTCGCCATGGCAAAGCCGTCGACGACACATATGTGAACACGCATCTCGGTCCGTCCTCCGACATTCCCGAATCCCCCGCCCGCACTGGCAAACCCTGACACTGTCTCCCAGCCGTGCCATTGGTATTCACGATTCTCACCCCCATCTACGCATCATGCCTCGTCTATGCAATAACCCTGTGGTATGCCCACCGCATCTGCATCATGATCGCCCTTCTTTTACTACCCCGCTCACAGGATTCGCCCCGCCGAGCGCCCCGACCCGCTGCAGTTCGGCACCATCAACGTCCACGTGTGCCTCTGGCTCTGCTGCGGCGTCGTCCCCGGCCTGTGGCCCCTCTTCCGCGCGCCGTCAGAAGACATGCAGCAGTGCATCAAGCAGTGGCCGTGGTGTCTTGTCCTGCTGCAGCGCAACCTCGCTCCGGCAGCCATCTGGATTGCCTGTGGGGCCTGTTTTTCTACCGCGAACTGCTGCTGAGCCCCTCTCAGTGCTATGCGCGTCGATAGGCAGCTACCAGCCGGGAACGGAGTATTATTTGTTGCCTGCGTGGCGATATTACTCGGGGGGAAGGGAAACGGACGGCGACGCAGTGGACAAGACCAAGGTCTTTGGAAAGCAGGTCGATTGATAGGGAGACGGAGAGGTAGGAAGACAGTGAGGCATTACAGGTGTGGTCGTGGGGGTAGCGAAAGATTAGGCCACGGTCCGTGCGATACGCGTCGACGTTTGGCGTTGTTTTGTGTCAAAGACTAAGTAGTCTGAATCTGACTCGGAATCTTTAGCTTCAGCGCCATAAAAGCATTCTGCACAAGACGGTCAGCATGGAAACACGCTGCGAGTAGACCCCTGAGCGCGCGCTGTCGCCTGACGCTCCCAGAATACCACATCTAACCTCGTCTTTGTCATTTGAATTGGGGGCGTTCATACCCTGCGTCTTTCGCGCCAGATATGTGCAAACCTGAAAAATATCAACCCCTTTGATTCTATGTGGGTCATAATCCATTATTTTCAGCAAGCTCCATCACCATCGCACGCAGCCCCATCTCCTCCTCAAGCTGCGAAGAACCCATATCAGCATCGGTCAAGCTGCAAAGCAACAACGTGCCTCTCTCCGCCTGACGCGGTCCTCTCTTCCTGCGTCCCCGCCAAACACGCGGTCCATATCTTCGAGCGTCACGCCCGCTGTTTCCGGCACCGTATAGGTGGCCCACAGATAGGCCACGAAGCACGCTGTGGCGAATGTGAGGAACGTCCCGCTGGAGAAGTTGTCAGTAGACGGTGATGTCGGCAGAAGAAAGGGCAGACGCAGGTGAGTATTCCATCATGATTGGTGTTACGAGCCCGATGAAGACTGAAGCAGGTCATGAGACGCAACACGGTAGACAGAATGACGGACAGTTGTTGCTCCAGTTGGAGGCAGTTGATAGAGCCACTCCACGGCCGCGCACCGACAGCGGGAAGACCTCGCTCGGGAGGACCCATCCAATGGGTCCAAACGAGACGCCATATGCAAACGTAAATGTATAGATTGCACTGGGAAAGTTTTCAGAGGGGCTGAGGCGGAAACGAAAGAAAGCCATGGCCCATACGCAACAGCGGCCCATGCGGCTATTGCATGCGAGCTCCAGTCCGATTGGACTTGCATTACCTGGTCGGCAGTCAGCATTATATAAGAGAAAGGAAGTTCAGCACTGACGAGGACGGCAATGATAAGATGAGAGGCCGCCATAAACGAGCTACCACCTTTTTCGCGTTAACTACATGGATAGGGGACGATGCAGAAGTAACCTCTTAACAAAGGCTTGCGTCCTGATTGCAGGGTCAACAGGATATATAAACAGAGCAAAAGAGACAATTACCAACTCGGTCGATATATATGACAGCGGGTCCAACAGCAATGAACTGGACAATTCCAATTCCCCCAGAAACAATCAGCGAGATAGTTTCGCCTTTGAGACCAATACTCTTCACAAGAGTGGGACCATAATAGAGTAATGCATTGATTCCGCTCCATTCTAAGAGTCATATCAGTGGAGAGACGCAAAAGAAACTGTAGCTTGCGTTGGAAGAACATCATAAGAACCCCCACCAGCGTGCGCGGGCGGTATTTCTTGGAGAACAACTGCCGCCACGCCGAAAACTCGTTCTGGGCACCAGGTTTGGGCGAATCCGAGTTGGATTGGGAAATCAAGGCTGCTTCGACACGCATTTCGAGAAGCTCGATCTAGAGCCAGGTCAGCGACAGACCTCAAGAAGCAAGATAAAACCTTTGTGAGCACGTCATCGCGACCACGCAGCTTGACCAAACTGGCTTCTGCTTCGTCATATTTGCCTTTCAGCACAAGCAATCTAGGCGAAGCGGGAAGAAGGAACAACGCCCCGAAAGCTAGAAGGACTCCGGGGCCGATTTGGACACCAAGCGGAATCCTCCATGACGCCGAACCTGGGACTGGCGGAGAAATTGAGTATGGAGTCAAATGAAACGACCACCACATACTATTTCGCGTGAAGAACCCAATCCAGAATCCGACAACGACTCCAAGGACGATCGAGAATTGTTCGAGCGCAATGAGCGAGCCGCGTACTTCGGGTGGACTGATTTCCGATATATAAAGTGGTGAAAGCATGCTTAGAGCGCCGACACCAATGCCGCCAATAGCGCGACCAATGAAAAGGTCTGCGAGTGTTCGCGCAAATGTTTGGAAGAGCGCGCCAATGTTGAATATGACTAGCGACGATATGAAGTTAGACGGACGGAGGTTACCGTGGACATACCACAGGCAATGAAGATGGAATGTCGGCGGGAGTATCTATCGGCCAAAACTCCGAACGTGAGAGCACCAATAAGGGCGCCCAGTTCCAGGACAGCCGCTGAAAACAGTGAGGGTTGGTCATGAGCGAAAGGTAGAGCACACACTGAGCGCGCCTTTCTGCAGCGGTGTTATTGGCCATCGGCCCACAAAGTCCTCCATTACAAGTACATTGGCAATCTAGAGAGAAGGAGAGTTAAGAGATGTGTATGAAGCAGAACGTTAGGACACACCACACCCTGGTCATACCCAAAGCTCAGTCCGCCTATGGACGCAAAGACCGCACACAAGAACGCGTAGTAGTTGTGCCACAGTCCAATCAGGCCGGGAGGGCCATAACTGTAAGTGTACGAGGAGTCTTCAGCGACTTTCAATCCAGAATCCGCGTTCGTTTGAAGGGAAGGGAGCAGGCGGCTATGTGCTGTGATTTCCTCGTCGGATTCGCGGGGGAGAAGAACGGGGTCGTCATTGGGAAGGGGTGCATAGTTGCTTGGCTGGAAAGAGTCAATGTAGGTTGATATAAATGAGCCGTTGCTCACCATAGAGCTGGGATTATAAGATCGTAGCGTTGCTTGAGCTGGCTGTCGAGGAAACGGAACGGGTTGCTGGCCGCGGTATTACAGAGTGCTGAGTACAATGTTAGGCGGGTCCGTTGTGAATGAAGGGAGAGAGGGAGACACACGATAGAGAAGAGAGGAGTCGTGAAAGCAGCAGGAAGACAGTGTATGGCGGTGTGACCAATTGTGACCCGAAAATATCAGGGGTTCTTTCCTCCAGCCACGACGCATGTTCTTCTGGCATGAAGATGGCCCAAATGCTCATAACTCCCTCGTATCTCACTCACAATCACCGCTCTTGCCTCGTATGTCTGCTACCCGTCCGACTCTTTTCGCCTTGCTTTGCCCATTTGGCGTCGGTTGGCGCTGAAGCGCCGGTCCTTCAAGTTGCTCGGCGTAAGACGTGTATTGCGAGACCGGGAAGGGCTAGAACGAGGCTATAACCAGTGCAGGATATGGTTCGGTTGGCCAAAAGGTGTGTAACTTTTTGGTCTCTCCCGCACTCATTTGCTAACTTTTCTGTAGCGGCAAGCTTTCTCAGATATGCCTCAGACTAGAAAGCGGACATAAGAAGCTTCTTCCCACAACACACCATTGACGATGAGATGGCCCTTCCCACCATTTCGCCACCTTGCTGGTTGCTGCGTTAGAGCACCACCCGTATCGGGTCTTTGGTATGTTTTCCAGTCGCTGACCGTATACACAGACTAACCCATGCCTGCCAGCTGATTTTTTCGAGACGGTACTATCGATGACGATAGTTCGGGAGCAAAGCTTCCCTCTTCACGCTCACCATGGAGTTTCGCTAGTGGGCCTACTAAGCCATAGCCGGGTAACGAAGTCGGTGAGTTGGGTCGTATCGTAACTGGCGAGTTCTCATAAGTCGTACAGATTTTCCCGCAGGCTCTCGTTTGTTTTTCGACAAATTTGCGCAGTTCTCCGTCGACGGCCCACGGCTGCCTCGCGTTAGGTGAGTGCTATCCACTCCTGCAGTATCTCGCGCTCACCTTCTCCTTCATAAGCTCCTTGTTGTCGACGATGAAGAGCATGCACTACTCTTCCCCACTCGACAGAGTCCCCGACTCCAGCCCAACAATCAGCACTCCTTAATCTGAAGCTGCTCGCCCTCACCGCAGTCACCACAGCACTCTATCACAGCGCTCTACGACGGCAAATTCTCGCCCGCAAATACGAGTATTGTCTCATTGCGCTCGCGCGCGTGTCAAGTTTGGTTGTCCCGTCTCCGTCCGGCGGGTTGTGTCAGCGTTGTGCGGCCGTTGGCACTCCTGAATGGGGCGTGTTGCGCGCGAAGAACGCACTGTTCTCGTGATATATCCAAGTTGTCAAGGTAGTTCGTCGCGTCATGTTGTTTGAGGACACTGACTCACCTTCTTTACTTGAAGGTCGTGCAGGAGCTGCAGGATCTGTCGCCGAAGACAATCCCGAAGTAGTCTTCAAGACACTGTTGTTGTCAAGCGAGCAAATGGTAAGCAGGTACCGTCCAAGTCAAGGAGCCGCACTTATCTTTGTGTATTAGTAGCTCGCTCGCGACTCTTTCAAGTTCGTCAAGCTACAAGTAAATGTCTTTCGTCTCGCTTCACGCATGCTTACCATTTAATAGCATTCTAACAGACGGTTAGTGGTGTTAAATCCTCAACAAGTCCAATATACTCACCTTTACTGCCGATAGCAGTTCATTAGTCTGCACTATCCTGTTCGCTCCCGTCCTTTCGCTGACCTTGATTTCCAGCGTGCTCGACGAGATGACGCTGTTGTTGCCGTCCTTGCTCAACAAGGTAAGTGTCTCGCTGCCAAGCTGAACAACACTGACTGTGCTGGACAGCGCTGTCGTCGCAGACAGTGCCGAAACGATAGAAGATCGTGGCGCTCCAGTGTCTCACCGCAATTGCTCCCTTTTCAAAGCCGTCGTTCTCGCCCGCCGTCAACGTTCATGACGAGAACTAAAGAAGGGCCGCTGACCAGCGCATACCGGCAGGAGAAGACAGCGTCCGTTGTGCATTGAATCATTGTCCATTAAACTAAGTAGTAGTCAGAGGAACTACTTATATTCGTTGTCCTGAGTACCTACAGCCTACTTACCCGTAGTATCTCACCTCTTGTGCGTCGGCCTCTGCGGGCTACCATGCGACGAAAAACTCGATATCAAGCCTAAATAACTTCGCAAGGAGATAGGAAGATAATCAGCTGACAACTAATAATATGTCGAGGGAGAATAAATAGGTCTTGCCTTTACATATTTAGCTCAAATCCTTGCCCGCGCGGCCAGCAGCTGCAACAGTGTGATAAACCACATTGATTCCATCCTGACGACACACATAATCCCCAACAGCCCTTCTACGCAGGAATAGTCCTGTTGAACCAATCC